ATAAATTTACATGCTCAAAATCATAATAAAATGACAAAGTAGCTTAATGGCTACAAAGGGCCATAGAAGATGGGAAAAAAAATTCATAAGGCTTACGTCAAGGGAAGATCAAGAGAATGAAGATCTCCATTTAAAGAGGTAAGAAAAAGGGTTGACAAAACATGCCGCCCAAGCTGAAGATTTTTGAAAAAAAAAACCTTCCGAAAAATATATAGGGACTTATGAGAATGCGATATGGAGAACACGCTACAATCACGAACTATTCAAAGAAGCTCCCATCTCAGAATTCATCAGACTGCAAAAGCTTCGATGGGCGGGTCATGTGATTACAATGTCAGAAAAGGTGTGGAAAAGATGTGTAGAAGAAAATCGAAAGGATTGCCACGGAAGATATGGAAACATGAAGTGGCACAGGACGCTCGTGAACTGATGGACGTCAAAGTATGGAGAAGAGAAGCGTTGGACCACAACGTGTGGAGACGGAAGATATCGAGGCCAGGGCCCAATTTGGGCTAGCGCCTGGACTTAAAATGGATTATCTCAAATGTGAAATAAACACCTTAATCTTAGATTTAAGAAGTTTGTTGCTAACTTCAAGAAAAAATCACATTTGTCATTTGTAATTTATTTGAGGATTGATGTTATTTAGTTTTATTTGAATAGTTTTTGATGAAAAACCGTTGTGGGAAAAGAAAATGTTCACCTTTTAATTAATTGTTTATTAAAAGCACGATCAAATGCCGGTACTTTTGCTCTCAAATTTGGCAGTTGTTAAAAAAAATTAGGGCTTTGAATGTGCTCTAAGCTCTAACCACATCATACTTTTAGACCTTGGCCCATGCAAAACTTTGACGACGTATCAAATTCGTTAATCGAGAGCAAAAGTATCGGCCCTTAAAGTATTTTTCATCATTGTTGCCTTTAATGAAGTTAGACATGAACGACAAGGCTTAAGAAAGGATTAACACTAATCCTAATCCATTCAATAGTTGTGAAATAAACGAATATGGATTAATAATCCTTAATCCACTTAGTATCCGGATACAACGCGTGAAATAAACGTAGTCAATATGTCTATACCTACTTGTTTAGAAATTTTTGCCTAATTTGACTCTGGATTTTTAACTTTATCTGATTCAATTTTTCTTTATTCATGGCTCTTGAATTTTCTTCAAAACTTCTTCGAAAGAAAACTATAGGTCTGCACTGGTTCGAAAATCTTTACTCAATTTGCCCTAAAGTTCCTCTACATTTCTTGACTTTTCTGCTCAATTTCTTCATTCCCTGCTCTTTAATTTTTGTTTTTTTCAAAACTTCTCAAAAACAGGGAATCCCAAATAAATTGATAACACACAAGAGCCTGGAATTGATATCTATTGGTTTTTGCTTGTCTAACACTTTTTTTTCAATTTATTTAAAAAAAATTATTATCTTTTTCTTAATTTCTTCAAATAAAAATCGAAAAAGTAGAGAAAATATGAGAGCGTGGAAGCGGAAAACTATTGTTAAAAATATTTAAATAGTACGTGTAAAATCTTAGAACATTGGAAGGAATATGGGAAATGGGAAATGCGACTGGTGGTGGCTGAAGATGCCATTATCTGCTTAATATATTGTACTTAGTGGATAGGTATAATATAGTAGAGCAGCAAATGTATGGAGACTGAAGTGCTGAGCCTCTCCTGATCCGGCATGTATTCATCTAGGTCTTTGAATGTCAAGCAAATAGGGAAGGTCCTCCAACCCTTTATGGAAAAGTTTTCCAGTTTCAGAATCCACATGCGCGTCCCATGTCAGTTTCATCTCCCAGGTCCTTTTAAGAAGCAATTTTGGAATTAATGTCGTAGGGCTTGTAAAACCAACTGGATCGAAAAACTTCTGAGCTAGAGACAATATTTTCTGTTTAGTTACAGGCTCATTCAGTAACTTGTCCAAATCTTTTAAGCACTCTTTACTGTTACCTAGCATGTTAGTTTCAGTTTGCCAAAACATTCCTAGTAATCCTGTGTTTTGAGAAGAACCAGTGAATTTCAGCTGATGAGAGATCTGCCACTCTCGCAAATCAAATTTGGCCTCAGCCATGACCATACTAGTATAAAACTCTTCAATGTGACATCATCCGTAACACTTGTCATGCAGTTATCTACATAAAAGCTTTTGTATAACTTTTCCCAATTTTTCTCACAAAAGAGTCCTTTTCCTGTCATACACTTTTCAAGAGCCTTGGCAAGATGGCTGCTAGCAAAATTGGACTACTGCTGACTCCAAAGCATACTCGCATATGATGGAACATCTTCTCATTGCCATTAGAATTCACTCAGAGAAAAAATCTCTGTCGGTTTCATGTGTACTGATCTGAAGAAAAGCTTCGCATATTAGTCCAGCAGGCAAGTACAAGTACTTTCTGCTAGAAAGTATTCCGAAAACGATGATATGATATGTCATTTGTGGTGTGGTGTCTGTGGAGTAAAATCTTAGTTTTTGACCGCTAGCTTGGGAGGAGTGCTAGCTTCGGAGGAGTCGAAAAACCACGAGTTTTTTGCCTATATTTTCCAAACCATGCGTTTTACCGGAATACACCTATTTATAAAGTTGAAGAACATTAAATTTCATTCAAATTTCACTAGTCAAACGTATTATTTAACGCGATATTAACCCAAATACAGTGGTTCAGAGATACAGAAAAATCCTCAAAAATTTCTTCCGGCCGAACACGATGCAAACCAAGCATGGGATAAACATATTTTATTCTCATCTCTTTCACGTGCACCCACAGACGATATATGTCTATACTAAAGTCTGGTATAGTCAGCACACTACAATAATAAATAAAGCTCACTACTGATTTGTCTGATTTAAAGTCCGTTCAAAAAGTCTATAGAGTTTTTCGAGTTCGTGATCTGACATTTTGGACGCTGATTGGCTAAAATTAGGAGGTCGACTTGGTGCTCAATTTAAACGATTAGCCCAAGGCCCTAGTGAGGCCTCAAAATCTAGCATATCAGCGTTGTCTTAATAAGACAAGCACTTGCAATATTTCCCTTTTTGTGTTCAATTATTTGGCCTAAGCCGGCAGCCGGACCAACTCGGAGCCAATGGGAAAAATCACCAAGCATATTTCAAATGGAACCTCATACTATCGGAAGATGCGAGCAGTTCAATCTGAAGTTATCGAAAACGAGAAATTGTAATAATGTCTGTCAGCCAAGCAGCTATCAAAGCATTGAGCTTCATGGAATCATCAATTCTAAGATAGTATATGGGAACGTTTACAGAAATTCAATGAGCTGGGAAAAGAAAACAAAGTAACCCTCCTCTGGGTGCCTGGAAACATAGGGGTCGAGGGCAACGAATGCGCAGACAGACTTGCAAGAACGGGATCGACTACTCCCTTCACTGGGCCAGAAAAAATTTGCTGAAACGCGCACCTCCAAGAAATCCTCAAAAAGGAAGAGAACCAGCTAAGGAACAAATAATGGCAAGAACAGCCAGGGCTACGACAGGCTGAATATCTTTTCGGCAACTTCAACCAAAAAAGATCAGAACTGCTAGTCAATCTTAGCAAGAAAAGTCTCAAGACTCTAACCGAGTTTCTCTCGGGACAAAAATTACTTTGTACTTCAATTACTTCTACAAAACTTTGAGTACTTTGTACTTGTACTTCAAGTACTTCAGTAATGTACTTGTGACAGCTCTGGTCGATACTTGTTTTGTTTAATAATGTGAATTTTATTATGATAAGTTACTTAATTTTCCTACCTTTTCCATGAAAGAATTAAATGCAAGGGCTATAACTCTAACATGATAGTGAGATAAGTGAGACCTATCATCAACTACGGAACGGTAGGCTGGTATAGCCGAACTCAACTAGTAACAGCTAGGAAAACCCTAGGACAAGTACAACCCACAAAGTATCTAGCAAAAGACGTGATTGTTGATAAATTCAGTTCCGAGAAAAATAAAATCTATCCAATTCTTTGAAGCAAACACCATCAAATGGAATATACAGACGATTCCAAAACTACTGAGGGAACTGGAGCCGGAGTATACGGGCCACGGATCCAGATACTCGGAAAGAAAAGTCTCAAGATTTTAACTGGGTTTTTTTTGGGACATTGCAGACTTAAGAAACACCTACAGAAATTGGGGTGGGAAGAAGGTGGCGCCTACAAATTCTGTGAAGACGGAGGAGAGACATCATTTTATATTTTTTACTGAACTGTGATGCCGTTAGTCGCTGAAGGATGAAAAACCTGGGAAATTCCCTTATACAGTAGGAAGACATTCCAGCTCTGGAACTGCTAGATACCCTAAAATTCCTAAAGGACCTAGGACTAGAGGGGCTGCTTCGAGCAGGAAACCCGAACTTAGCAACAGAAGGAGGGGTACAATAGATCAACCTTGGTTGTAGTGTATACAACGTTTTTCTCTTTAATTTAGTTTTTGAAATGTGATTTTTTACTGGAAAAATTTGTGTGATTGTGTCCTAATTTTATAGTTTTTCTAAGTTAAAAGATTCAAAAGTTTCCTCTCACTATATTTTTTCAAAAAACAGAAAATGTGAGGGGTTGCAATTTTCCTTCAGTTGATTTTACGTCATTTTGCATTTTACGACCATGATATCAACAAAAATGGTTATTTTGGACATGCAGGTTTCCTTATTGATTTTTTCATAATTTTTTAACCTCATGCAATCTATAATCGAGGCTCTCAATAGCTTCAAGCTATACTTTACCGAGTTATCTTTGAACTTTCTCCACATAAGTCTACTTTATCAACAATTACAGATTCAATTTATGAACAACTTATTGTCTGATGATGGCTGAAATTTATATTGAATTATTATCTTAGCTTTCCCTACAGTCTACAAAAATATCAGTTTTTTCCTATTTCGCGAGGTTTATTGATTGACTTCAGGGAAAAATTGTACAAAATTCGAAATCTGTTTGAAATAGAACAAATTCCATTATTCCTGCATGAAATAAACTAAATCAACGCACCTAATGGTAAACTCGTAGGACTTCCAAACAAGCAATCTTTTCCCGACGAACATCTGAATGTCTTCGTGTTATCACCAGGCAATTCCATAGATAAAATCGCGACATCCTCGTTACGCTCTTTGGCCCTTCTTATCCTATCCTCGCCCACGGTTTTCGTTTGCAAGTTCAACCTTTTAAACTGATCACTTAAAACTCCTGCCATTTCGGCTTCCGAAATCACTCACAAAAAAAAGTTAAAAATTATGTCGCATTTGTTTGTGCAGATGCCGGCACAGAGCACAGATTTTTACGAGATTTAGCTTAGAATACGTTCACTGTTTCGCTTCGCGATCGTTGCAGACGAATGTGCAGGATATTTTGAGTCATCGCGTGCGTCCCGTTTAGTTGTGAATGACTGTATGAGAACACGACTTGTATTTGTTCTTCAAGAAGAAAAATTGCCGCTGCTTGTAGTGTCAGAAGCCGTAGGGCAAGGTCAAGTTTGACTACCTACACGCCGAAATTGAATAACATTGATTGGACGGAAAGAGTTTTAAACTGAAATTAGTTTTAATTGAGTTGCTTTCTTTGAGACATCAGGGTTAGAGTTTTAATGGGTCAAAAGAGTTTTGTCTATTGTCACGTTGTAATTTGAATTAAGTTAAGTGGTTTTATTTTAATTTACACATTTATTTGATGACTTTAATGGCTCGTAGTAGTTTCGCATTTTTTAAGTTTAAAAATGTCACCTAGCGGAACATTGTCTTCTTTTTCTTCTTCAATGGCCCTTGGATTTTTACATATAGGCCACCCTTAGAGTTTTCCAGTTCAGCCTATTTTGGGCTAGTTGATGCCATTTTCCTTCTGCTAAATTATTATCAGCATGACAAGGTTATGGCATCAACAGGTGAAAAATTTCATGAAAAAAAAGACAAATATTGTAAAAAAAATAATAATCGAGGGTAATCAAAGTGCATCAAAAAAGAGAGCGACACGCGACACCGAAGGTGGAGGGTTTTTTTAAAAAAAAATATGAAAATTAACGAATGTAGTTTTTCAAGAAAACACGATTGAACACAAAATTATCTGGTTAATCTGAAGCACGAATGCTATGGAATATTTCCCGAAATTAGACCTGCCGGAAAAATTATCGGCAAGTACCTGCCGGGCACTTATCGGTACCTGCCGGGCACTTATTGGTACCTTGCGGGCAATTATATCTGTAAGTTTTCGATAATTGCATTCCTCCTATGAGATTTTTTATACATGAAGGAAATATTCCGATATGTTGTCAATCACAACAAAGAAGCGTGGATAGAAAAAAAAAACGAGGAAAATCTCTGTAATATGGACGAATAGAAACTAAAAGATTGTTAGAGGCCTTCTCTTAGAGTTCCTTTATATTTTTGGAGAGAAAAGACTTGTGCAACATATCGAAAATACTTCCATATTTGATGAATATCAATATGGTTTCTAAGGAAAAAGCAATGCCCTTGCCTTGGTGCAACGGCTGACCTACTCGAATATGTACCAGAACTTGTCATCAACAATAATATTTATTGATTTACAAAAAACTTTTGACACAGTCGACATAGAATTGTTCTTAGAAAAAATGGTAATTAAAGGTAGAGTATATAAATTACTAGACTTATTCCAAAAACAAATTAAATGTGGGCATCGATATTAAGACCTTTTCAATATCTCTTGTATGTCCAGTGTCTGGAATATTTGGAACTTGAGTGGAGATACTTTATTTGTTTGCTGATGACACAGTACTTATACTAAACACACAGTGATCGTACATCTCTGGAAAAAATGCAAATGAGGACTGAGGCCTTGATTATAAATGGTTATGCGGCAAAAATAATTTTTCTATAAATATTTATCTGGTTCTAACCTTAACAAGTGTTTTAAATTGGGACCTACACATAGAAGGCGTGATTAGCAAGATAGTTCGTAACGTTAACGGCAAGTTGGTGTTGAAAATGATGCACATGCATTGCGTGTGGGTTCTCCTCAGCATATTGCATATCTATTTCGACTGTTAAACATACCATCCCTATAGTAAAGCAAGCTTCATCCGTCCATAACACAATGTTTGCAAATGGTGGGCTCTGCGTGCACTTGTGCGAGTACCACTGGGCAAACTGTACCCTGAAAGGATAATCATCTGGCAAGAGCCCTTGGACTTTTTGAAGATGATAGGGATACAGGGATTGCTCCTTTATGATGCGATGAACGGTCATGTGATCGCAATTTAGAGGCTCTTGTGCTGATGGGAGTTCTTCTAGAGCGAGGAGCACTACTATCTGGCTTACGTACAGTAGGTTAACCAGTTTCCCTTAAACGACGGTCCAGTGCCGCAAAAGTACTATGATGTGGAGTATGTCTGCACGGAAAAGTTTGCTCATAAATACGGCAAGCTTCTCGGCCAGTTTTATTCGTGGTACCATAGACAAGCTGCATGTTCGCTAACTCATTAAAAGAGAAACGATGCATGGTTTACAAAGTACAAAATTACACATCAGAATCAGTTATTAATAGGTGAACACGTTGGTAACAAATTGAAACAATTCTAAACAGCACCAAAAAAGTCTTCTGATAAAGCTACTACTAATTAACATTTTACCTACTAATAAGGGAATAAAAGCTGTACTAAAAGATAAGGAAATAATGCATAAGCCATATCGCATTTTTTATTGATAAACACTTTTTCTTATACCTTAAGCGTCCACAAGCATTTAATCTCGACATATACGGTTCATCCGGTCGACGTCAGACTTAAAAAAAAATCGTATCTCCGTAGGGGTGCATCTGCGACCCCATGTTCCCTATGTCAAATTACTTGCATTACCCTACCACCCCTAAACGTGTGTCGGTGTTATTCTGTTACACCCTGTATAGTACCACACATAATGTATTCTCTATGCTGGAGAAATACTGTGACGTAGTTTATAAATAGCTTTCTAGTCCATCTTCTATTTCTGAACCCAGCTTGCGCTGCGCTGATTTAAAAATATATTTAAGTTTTATTTTCTCTAGTGAATCTTCTGTTTTTACTTGACCATTGTTTCTACTTTCCTGGGAAGTTCGCTATTTGGGTCGTCTCCCCGTTGGTCTGTTGACAGGCCATTTTTGATGAGCTTCCAAAATGCTGTGTCGGCGCTTTGTTCCAGTTGTCTAATGTTGTGAATAACTGGGATTACTATCCTATTGTCTTGTAATATACTTCTAAAGTTGTTCTGTTCCTATGAGGAAGATTTTTTTGAAGACATTCCAACTAACAGCTTATGACCTATACATATGTGGTCTCAGTAATGTCAATGTAAGATTTAGTTTTCAATAAATGGTATCAATATTATTCTATTCATTTATACACTAAACATGACGCAGTCATTAATATACGCTTAGAGTTTGTTAAACTGAGTTCTTGATAGTATTAAGAAAATGCCTAGAATGAAACCCATTGAATCGTCACTTTCCCTGACTAATAATGTAGTTAAAGCTCTAGCCAAGGATACTCAACAATTAATTCACGATTTAAAAAACAGCTTTTCATCTAAAATAGTTAATTTTGAAACCGAAATATTCAAAGTACTGGGTAAGAATACAGTACTTGAATGTTCAATTTTTGATACTACATATCAAGAACGGCAAGACTAGTAGGGACTCACAATATTCATTCATTTATCAGGTACAATCCCTATTCTATATTCTAAAAAATTTGGTGGAGAAAGATTTCTTCAGTCCACTTTATGGATTGGCGTAGAAAATTTGATAACTATTTAATGTTCCACGGTTACAAATTAATTCTAAGGGTCAAGCAACGGCTTCCCTGTCTTTCGCCGTTTACTGAAGATATTTATGACATTGTTAGATTCGTTTTAAAAATCCTACTTGTTGTCCTGCAAAAACGTAGTAAACGTACACCGTACAAAAAAATGCAAGAAACTGAAGGACAATCTAGAACTTCAAGGATTGTCTCATTTAAAATAAATAATATTGGAAATCCTGCTACTAGAGAATACATCAAAGAGATATTGATGCCATGATATACATATACGGAAAAGTATTGAAAAAAAACAATTTACACGTGACACCGAAGCAGAAGTACCTGTTGCTGGAAATAATTTTATCTCAACAAATAAAGATTCCAGATAATCCTAATATTGAACAATGTGAGGCATTGCGTCAAAATCTAATTAAAGAATTCAAAGATGTATTCGATATACAGAAGTATTAAAGAGGGTCGATTATTCGCGCCAGAGAGTGACAGCTCGGTATTCTAATTTTCGATTTATTTTTGCGAAACAAAAGTGATTAGGTAGTAAAAATACCTAATTGTGGAAGAGAAAATAATTGAGTGCATCTGGGGGTAAGTCTTCAGAATAAAATTCAGCCTTAGTATCGCTTGTTCCTGCTTTGCCTTTTTCTAACCTAAAATAGTATCACAATCACATGAGTGTAGAACCAGGGAGCCTTCGGAGGCCCCCACCTAGTGGAATTATGGACAAAAAAAAAAACAAGTAATTTTTCATACACATTCAGAGATTCTAAACCTTACATGGTTATTGTTGAAAGTAAAAATGAGGATAATATTGGTATCATTAGTATTGGTAGACTTTTTAGAAATGTAGGAGGTGTGGAGAAAACCTTCAGAAAACTTAAAAGCATAGTTGGAATAGAAGTTACTGACTATCTTAGTGCAAATGAATTTTTAACTAATAGAATGTTATTAGAGGAAAATCTTAATGCATATATTCCAGCGAGCCTTGCAAAGGAATAGCCAAAGGTTTTAACGAAGGCTTATCAGAAGAAGAAATAGTCGAGTATAGAAAATCCGTTGCAAATGTTGTTGAGGCCAGGAGGCTCAAGAAGAGAATAACTGAAAATGCTGATAGTATCTATGTAAAAACTCAATCAGTGGTGTTTACATTCCAAGGGAAAGTGATTCCAAGGTCAGTAAACCTAGATTTCTGTGATGTAATGATCTCAGTCTATATAAGTCCAGTATTGATGTGTTTCAACTGTTTAAGATATGGCCATACGGCCAAACAGTGCCGAGGCAAATAAAGATGTAGCGGAAGAGCACGAAGAAAGGACTGGTAACAAAGCACACCTAATTGCTTATACTGCAACATGGAAAATAAAACCACTGTGCAAGGAGTACCTGAGACAAAAAGCAACCAAAACTACAATGATAACAGAAAACATCTCCTATTTTGAAGCAAGGAATAAAC